TCTTCTCTGAAATACAGATTTGACAAAGCATGGGTTTGACAAAAGAATCCCAAGATCCTCACAAGGTGAAACATAAAATTACCATATGACCCAGCAATTTCTGTCTTTTTTTTTTTTTTTGAGATGGAGTCTCGCTCTGTCACCTAGGCCGGAATGCAGTGGCGCAATCTCGGCTCACTGCAACCCTCTTGGGTTCAAAAGATTCTCCTACCTCAACCTCCTGAGTAGCTGGGACTACAGGTGTGCGCCACCATTCCCAGCTAATTTTTTGTATTTTTAGTAGAGACGGGGTTTCACAGTGTTAGCCAGGATCATCTCAATCATTTGACCTTGTGATCCACCCACCTCGGCCTCCCAAAGTGCTGGGATTACAGGGGTGAGCCACCGCGCCCAGCCTAATCTTGACCTCTTTTAAACTCTGGATTGACACCCCCAACTGCCAACTACCACCTGTGGTCCTGCCATTTGTCCCCAGTTCAAGGATTAGAACCGTATATCTGCTTGGCCAAGCCTGGATCACATGCCTAGGCTCTAGCTGCAAGGAGGGCCCAGAGAGTACCTGTGTTTTTAGTTTCTGTAGTGGCATAGAAGTACCACTTCCCACCAAAACCCCGGAGGTGGGCCATTCCCCAGGCAGTTTGGATGCTCCCTCCGCATTGTGCTTCTGCTGCCCTACCTCTGTCGGTGGCCTCATTAAACTCCTAGGCCCCCAGGTTCAACTCCTGAACATTTTCCTGGACTTGTCCCCACATCCAAATCAGCCACATCAAAGCCCATCACTTCTTCCTGTGTAGCACCTCTCTCATCCATACCCTTCCCTCTGGTACCCCTGCCTCCATGTCAGGGCATTCATTCAGGAGGCACTGAGGGTCTCCTTTGTGAGAGGAGCTATGCTCAAGGGGAGCATGGAATACAACGCTGCTCTGAGGAACTGGCAGTCTACTGGGTGAGGCAGACACACGAATGATTAGGAGACAGTCTGGAAAGCATTGTCCTGCAGACCTGTGGGGAGCGCAGGAAGGCTTCCTGGAGGATGCCAAGGAATAAGCGATATGAGATAAAACAGGCATTTGGCAGTCTACTGAATCTGGGGAGGTGAATGGTGGACAGTCCACAGCATTCAAGAAGGCAGAGAGGTAAGGAAGAGCAGGGTATGTTTGGACACTAGCATGGCCATCGCAGGGAGTCTGCTGGGAGGAGAAGGGAAACAGAGGTAGGAGTTCCTCTGTAAAGCGCCTTATGTGCTATACCAGGGAGGCTGGGGCAGTTAGCTGATAGCCTCAGAGGTGCCAGGTGTAGGGCGTGACTGGAGAGCAACACATAACCACTCCTAGGAGGGATGGGGACTCCTGCACCTGGTTGTCCACTGAGCCCAGCCAGACACTTAACTGACTCTCAGCTAGTTCCAAACAAATGAAGGACATATGAAAGACCTGGAAGCCACTTGAGGAAGGGATGTCTCTACGACCCGCCTTCAGAATCCCTCCTTCCCCCTCCACATGGCAGGGCAGCAAGCTTATGGAAGCTTTCTGGGGAGAGATGTGGAGAAGAGGAGGTTGGTGTCCCTCAGCACAGTGAGCACCCTGAGGTCAGGGCAGGGGATGGGCTGCTGGGGTTTGGGGGACAGGGATACTGGCTCTGACTTTGTGGGACAACAAGCTGGTCTCTGAGCTCTCTTACGAGAAAGAAAGAAAGGAAGGAAGGGAGGGAGGGAGGGAGAGAGGGTGGGCGCAGTGGCCCAAGCCTGTAATCTCAGCACTTTGGGAGGCCAAGACATGTGGATCGCCTGAGGTCAGGAGTTCGAGACCAGCCTGGCCAACACGGTGAAACCTTGTCTCTACTAAAAATACAAAAATTAGCTGGGCATGGTGGCCCATGCCTGTAATCCCAGCTATTTGGGAGGCTGAGGCAGGAGAATCATTTGAACCTGGGAGGCAGAGGTTGCAGTGAGCTGAAATCGCACCACTGCACTCCAGTCTGGGCAGCAGAGCAAGACTCTGTCTCAAAAAAAAAAAAGGTTCAGTGGTCAGGGCTGTGTGGCTCAGGGGGCTGGAGCAAAGCAGCAGAGAAGGAGCTCAGTCCTGGAACCGTCCTGAGGGAGGGAGTTAGGGGTAAGGTAGTAGCCAGGGCCAAGGCTCCGAGGGAATTCTTCCTCAAGAAAGGGGATGAGAGGCTGGAGAGGCAGATGGGAAGATGGTGAGGCTGCTGCTGGCCGCTGGGCGGAATGTAAGTGGGAGTGCCCACCACCACCCATCCCCCAGGCCCAGCTTGTGCACAAAGACTTCTCTGTGAGTGGCCATGGAAGTGGCCCTGTCAGGTGAGGGGGCTTAACTCCCAGGGAGTGGAGTGGAATGGGGCTGGAGGAAGGGAGGGCTGAGAGGTGGCCTCAGGCTTTAACCAGGTCTGGGCAGGAAGGAGAGAGAAGCTGAGACCAGGCTGGGGTCTCACAGTGAGGCCATCCATGGTCTGGTCCAGCTGTCCCCAGGATGGGCTCCTCTCCATCATCCAATCAAGGCCCCAGGGCCCCAGCACCAAGGCGCTGACCTGCCCCTGCCTTCTCCCCATGTCTTCCCAGCTATAACTCCTGATCCTGCCAGGCCTCTCCAGCCTTCCTTCCCCTCCTTATACATGTTGTCTCCTGACGCTCTTGGGACTGATCCCGCTTGGGACTGGCCCTGCTTGGGACTGACCCTGCTTGAGCGTCTCTCATCTTCCCAGCATGGGGTCTCCCTCCAGCTCCTGCACAGTGCTCCCGCTTCTGGGAGGGCTGTGTTGAGAGGATGGAAAGACAAGATGGACCATAGCTAAAAAGGAGTCCCAAAGCTACCCTAGTCTCCACACCCACTCTTGCCTTCCCTGGGAGAGGCTCCTCTCCTGGCCTGGCCTCAGTGTCACTTACTGCTAATCAGCAATGTGTAGAGACCTTTCTCCCATCCCCCCACCTCCAAGACCTTGTTGGACACACTGGATTTTACTGGGTTTTTTTTTTTTTTGAGATGGAGTCTTGCTCTGTCACCCAGGCTGGAGTGCAGTGGCACGATCTCAGCTCACTGCAACCTCCACCTCCCAGGTTCAAGCGATTCTCCTGCCTTAGCCTCCGGAGTAGCTGGGATTACAGGTGCCTGCTACCACACCCGGCTAATTTTTGTAGTTTTAGTAGAGACATGTTGACTAGGCTGGTCTCGAACTCCTAACCTCAAGTGATCTGCCCACTTTGACCTCCCAACGTGCTGGGATTACAGGTGTGAGCCACTGTGCCCGGCCTGCACTGGCCCTTCTAGTGAATGTTTGGGTTCAGGGTGCATGAAGCAGCAGAATGCTGGTGGACACCACCTCAGCTTGCAGGCTGCTCTGGGTTTGATAGTCAGTGGGGCTCTGTCCACAGGAAGGACAACAAAAGAAGGAGCTTTTGGTTTTTGACTCTGAAATTGGACAGGCTGGTCAGGATACAAATTCTGGCTTCCCCCACTTACCAGCTGGGTGACCTTAGGCAAGTCCCTTCATGTCTTTGGACCCTAACTGCCTTCCTTGGTTATCCTGAAGATCAAACAGGATGATGGGAATGAGTGTTTTCTAAGGCTGTGTGCAGGTATTTAGTGTTAAATGCTAAGTGCAGAGGGATGCAGATATGGGGCCATTGAGATAGGTGGGGGCAATCAAGGAAGGGGGGTTGTGAGGGCCATGGATCATCGGGTGCAGTCCATCAGGGAGGCCTGACTGAGAAATGTGGCTGGGCTCCGTGGCTGGGGCTTTCGTGGTCTGAAGGAGGTGAGCATCTTGCTGAGGCTGTTTCGAGAGGGACCCGTTGTTAACAATTAGGTGGTGAACTCCATGATGGCAGCTTCTTTTATCCACTGGCCAGGTGCGAATGCTGCCCAACATACCAGGAGGAGGGGACAGGTAGGGTGCAGCTCAGCCACATTGCCCCTAACCTGCCCTGCTCCCTCCCTGCAGCCCTCATCTCCTCGTCCTCCAGGCAGCACAAGCCATTGTGGAATCTCCACCGGGTGTACAGAACGGTGCCTGTGCATCCTGCTGCTCAGGACCTCTCAAGTCCCCGATGTGATGGCTCCTCAGCATCATCAGGAGTGAGCATAATTCAGACCTATTTAGATCCATCAGCCTATGGGCCAGGGGGACCTTCAGCAGGACAGTCTTTTGTCTCCAAGCAGTCATTCCTTGTTATACAAGCAAGAGTCAGGAGGAGGAATGGTTTTGGCATCATCCCCCACAGACAGCAATGGGGCCTTTAGGCCTGGAGGGAAGGACCAGGCTGAGGCTGGCATATGGAGGTTGAGCCCTGGGCACGGGGCATCAGCTTCACCCGGCTGGGGATGCCTTCTGCTGGGTTTGTCCATCTGGCACCAGCTGGCTTCCCAGCACCGCCCCCACAACCAACCAGACTCCTTCTTCTGCTGTTGCCATGACAATTGGCTGCCATATTGTACCTCAGAGCACTAGCTCCTATCTGGATTTTCCTGTGGAGTTCCTAGAGGGTGGGAGATGGGTCTCCAGGGATTTATCCCTTTCTCCTGATATCCATCCAATAAAAATTCATAATAACATGATTTTTTAAAATAGTCTAAGTGGAGGATTACTATGTGTCAGGCTCTGTGCCAGACACTACATGTTATTTAATGTGGCTAAGAAAGAATTAATGAGATAGAATTCAAGAGGTTCCCATCCAGTTTCCTGCTACTACGACAGACTTTTTCTCTCTCCAACCAGGAAATTCCATGATCTTGCTTATTCCTGTCTTGGGAAGTCCTTCTCCATGTCTAACCAAGATCTATACGGCTATAGCACCAACTCTTTGGTTCTTGGCTTGGCATGGCTGAGTTGAGAGGTAAGGAAGGAATGCCACCTAGCTTTAGTGACTTCATAAAGGTTCCTGGGCCGGGTGTGGTGGCTCATGCCTGTAATCCCAGCACTTTGGGAGGCCGAGGTGGGCGGATCACGAGGTCAGGAGATCGAGACCATCCTGGCTAACACGGTGAAACCCCGTCTCTACTAAAAATACAAAAAATTAGCTGGGCGTGGTGGCGGGCGCCTGTAATCCCAGCTACTCGGAGGCTGAGGCAGGAGAATGGTGTGAACCCGGGAGACGGAGCTTGCAGTGAGCCGAGATCGCGCCACTGCACTCCAGCCTGGGCGACAGTGCGAGACTCTGTCTCAAAAAAAAAAAAAAAAAAAGGATTCCTGGACTCCAGCTATTAGAATTGGGAAACTGAGACTTGCCTAGCTTGGTGAGAGGTCTGAGTGCCCCTTAAAGTCTTGGGAGCCCCCACCCAAACCTTCTGTTTACGGAAGAGTAGTAAATGCCACATAATGCTTTGAAATTCCCCCTCTGTGCCCCCATCAGCACCCCAGAAAGAGTCAGGAGCCGGAGATCATGGAATAGCAATAGTCTCCCAGGCCCTCTGGGCTCCCCCTTTGGAAGCCAGTCTCCCAGCTCCTGCCTTGTGGGGAACGTTCCAACAGGGCCTCGGATCCTGGGATAGTGAGAGTTCCCTCCTTCTGGACCCCAACTGGAAGGCAGAGAATGGTCACTTTGACCTCGAGGGGCATCTGTAAGGGGCACTAAGCAGAGGCTAGCTTTGCTGAGGGAATCCTGAATGAGGAGCAGGTGGAGAGAAAAAGGAGGCCATTCTCAACTGAGGAAAGGTGGGCTGGGAGGGAGGGGCTGGGGATAATTTATGATATCATTGTTCCCCCACCCCACTTACTTCCCAGCTACTGTACCGTTGCTAGGAGAGCTTGGCTCTGTCTGGGGCTGGGAGGGTGTAACAGGCGGGAGGCTGTTCCATCTGCACTCCTCCTTCCCCACCCAGGGGAGGGCACCGCATGGAGCTGCATCCACCACCCCTTCCCAGGCCCTGACAGACACCAGTCTCTTCTGTCGTTCCCCCAAATCTAGCCACTCAAGGAATAGCAGGACTCCCAGGTGGGCTGAGGATCCAGAGCAAGGAATGGGCAAGGGAGTATGGAAGGAGAGACACTGGCAGACTTAGAGGGGCACTCAGGAACAGCTGGCCCACCTCGAGACTTGGGAGCCAGCCCGGGCCAGGAAGAGGGCCAGAGGGAGTCAGGGAAACAGTCCTGGCAGAGCCCAGGTTTGGAGAAGACAGAGTCCTTACATTTGAGGGGTTCCTGATGCGATGGGCAAGGCGGACCTGTCATCCCCACTCCTCCACACTGTCAAGATCCAGGTTGGAGAGCTGGCAAAGGTAGGGGAAGGAGGAGCTGGGGCAGGGAGGAGGGAGGTGAGCTGGGAGAGGCTGAGGAGAGTCTAGGAAGAAGAAAGGCCGCACTGGTCTAAGTGGAGCTGGGCCATGCCTGGCCATGGCTGAGATCCCCTCCTCTTTCTGAAATTCTCTTCTCAGATCTTAAGGCTCTTGGAGAAGTCAAGGGAGGTGAACTTTGGGGGTTTCCAAAGCTGCTGGCTCCCAACCCTGGATGGGGCAGGAAAGGAAGGCTGTGCCCACAGCTGTGCCTGACACCTGATTCCTGCGCAACCCCTACTGGGTTTATTTGCCTTTCCTGGACCTAGCTTCCCCACCCCAGAAAGGAAGGAGCTGACCCTGATTTGTGCCCATTTGGTTGTGCAAGCCCCTCCGTAGCCATTATCTCAGCTAATCTTCCCAACAGCCCTGAAAACCAGGTGATACTGTCCCCACTTTATGAAGGAGGAATCAAAGCCTCAGGAAGGCTAAGACACTTTCCCAGAGTCACAGGACTGGTACGTTGGGCTGGGCTTCAAGTGGGGCTTCGTAGACTCCAAAGCATATGTCCCCTTCCCCTGCTGTGCTGACTTCTGAAACACAAATGGAGGGACTGAGAGAAGAGAGGACCAGATAGGTGGAATTCTTGGCATGTTCTCCAGTGTAGGCGTAAAGTCTGAGAGATGATAAACATCTTGCAGGTTGAAGACAGGATTGGGGAAGAGGCCATGGGAGCTGTGGAAGTGACCAAAAGTCTACTGGGCTGGTCCTTAGCCCAAGTGCAGCCTGCTCCCTGCCTTCCTGAAAAAAGTCCCCTGGGCTCCCTGCCTAATCTCTCCTGTTCTTGGGATCTGAGTTTCCGCCTTAGGCATTTCCCTCATCCCCCCATTGCCTTGGATAGAGCACCTGGAAGAGGTGCCTAGACTCAAGCCACTGTCATGGCGGATCCCTTTGTGATGACCCCTTCCCTAGCTCCTCACCTTGGCTGATGGACGTGAGCTCCTTCCAAGACCGCTGGAAGTTTGTCCTCTGCCTCCTCCTAAAGTCTCCATCCAAAGAGTAGTTTTTGGCCGGGCATGGTGGCTCACGCCTGTAATTCCAACACTTTGGGAGGCCGAGGCGGGTGGATCACTTGAGGTCAGGAGTTCGAGACCAGCCTGGCCAGCACGGCAAAACCCCGTCTCTAATTTAGCCGGGTATGGTGGCATGCGCCTGTAATCCCAGCTACTCAGAGGGTGAGGTATAAGAATTGCTTGAACCTGGGAGGCAGAGGTTGCAATGAGCCAAGATCATGCCACTGCACTCCAGCCTGGGTGACAGAATGAGACTCCATCTCAAAAAAAAAAAAAAAGTATTTTTCTTTACGCTTGACAATTTTCTTTTCAGACCAAAAAGAAGAATGTACTTCATCCAGTTGGACTGGATTCCCTCTGAGAAGCCTTCCCAATTGACTAAAAGATGAGGCTAGGCTCTAGCAAGTTGAAGTGGAGAACCAGCTCCTTCAAGAAGCTTTCAGCAGAATGGAAGTGGGGAGGACCCAGATTCCAGCCCAGGCAGCCCGTTGTACCTTGAGCCATCTGGGATAAGACTTTGACCCATGACTCCCATATCCACAACCTGTCCATCCTGGCCCTTCCCAGTTTATCCTGTGTCATTTGAACTGGGATTCCCACATCCTCTGAGATGGAAGTCCCATCTCAAGTCTTCAATAAAGACTCTTGAATATTGAATCACATTAATAGTGGTTGTGGATATACCTGGACAGGGTTGGAAGGGGAGGGGCTGCAAGAGAGGGGGCAATACTGGGCTCCCTCCAACAGAGATCGGTGATAACAGAAGCCAACCTTGCAACAGAAGTGGGGGAGCCTCTAATACCAGAACTCCTACCTGGTAGGGTGTGGGGCGGTGAGTGAACATCTTGGCTCCTTCCACCGCCCTCAGCCACCCCAAGGCCAGAACTCCATCCATGATCCGGTCAGTCCCAAGTCCAAGTCATGGGCTAATGCTTCCAGCCAAGGAAGCACCTAGGTGCCATACTAGGGACCAAGAGAATGGGAGAGGGTCGTGACGCTCCCCCACAGTGCCTGTGTAGGAGGTTACTGGGTGGCCTTCTGTCTCCTCCACAAAAGGACTCTCATAAATGTCCTCCTGGGTTTGAACAGACTACATAGAGGGAGCACCCCTCCCCAAAAAGGGTCTTCCATTCCTGCTTCTTCCCTGTCCACCCTCAGAGGAAACATAAGGGAATGAATATGATTATTAAGAGGGATTCAGATTAGACAGCAGGTAGGACTTCCCAACAATAACAAGGCCTGAGGGGGAACTTGAGGGGGCAGAAAAGCCATAGCAAAAAACTAGGACTGTACTCTTGACCCCATTTTCTCCATAACACATCTGTATCCAACATGCTCCCCTGAAAGACGGGCCCCTTCTCGTCTCTAAAGAGCCTTGCTGGATGATGTTAGCAGAGCCCAGACTGGCAGCACCATTTAAGCTCTCCATCACCTTCCAGAAAATCCTCCCTCCCTTCCATAATCCCTCCATGGAACTATGAATCCTGGAAATTGTCTAAATGAAAAAGCTTAAGATAACACACATGACACAATTCTAACAGCACAAAAGGGAAATTACATCTCCTTCCTACCCGTGTCCCCAGCCACCCACCTCCTCTCCCAAGAGGCAACAACTGGTACCTATGTCCTTCTCGGGCTACTCCATAGACACCCAAGCACGTGTGTATAAATTCCTCCTTTCCATTTAAACACTGACTGCAGCCTTTTTAGCTCTTCTAGACCAGGACTTCTAGCCCGAGGTCAATCTGGACCTCAGGGGATGCTTGCAAATACTAAAATTGCATGCAGAATGCTGGCCAGGCGCCTGGGCACTATTTGCAGGAGGAGGGCTAACATAATGAGCCACCTGGTTTAGCCCAGTTCCTCATTTTATAGAGGAAACTGAGGCCAGAGAAGAGAAGGGCTATGTCCAGGGTCCTCAGCATGGTGGGGGCCTATCAGGAGAAGAATCGCAGGCTCCCCCTGACCTATATGTCCAGGAGCCCTAGAACTGGGACTTGGAGGGCTGACTGAGACTGAGGATGCTGCTGGGAGGAGGAGGCAGTTTCCTTTGCATCACCGTCTGGCGTATCTAAGGGGCTGAGCTCAGTCTCACCACGCCTGGGAGCTCATCAGTGCTTCTGAGGTTCCAGCCCTCATTTCGGGGCCCTCCCACCTCCTAGCCTTGCCAGGACCCACTGTGGCCCTGGGGAGGTGGGGTGAATGGAGGCAGGATCTGGCTTGGGGTCGATCCGATCCATATGAAAGAAGCTTCTCAGGTCTGCCCGCCCCT